TATAAAACATGGGGTAAGCCCAACGTGTGGCACCGTTCATTGCACAAAACTGGGTTTTGGAAGAGATTTTAGTGATCCTTAGTGGGGTAGGCCTACAAGGTGAAGCTAAGTCGTCTCTATTACAAGTAAAAATTCCACCCGTTGAACGGTTTGCCTACTCGAGGATGTGTTTTTAAGGGCACGGATAGAGCTTCCGACCCCCCTTAATTTCACTGACCCTCCACACGAAGTGAGGAATAGGAGTTAAAAGAAGTACTCTGGCGAGTGATAGATGTACAAAAATTGCTCTTGCTCACCTAATAAGGGCCGACCGCGGATAAAAACTGCAGTTGGAACCCCAACAAAGTAAAACAAAAGAAAAAGAAACAAATAATAAGGAAAATGGGTTTCCAACAAGTGAGATGAAATGGAAGAGCACCTGATACAAATAGTCATTGGTAGTTAAATTGTGGGAGTTACCTTATCCATGAATTGACTGTCTTAGTTCCACTGCTTCTCATGATCCTGGCTTGAGTCTAGTACTCGCATTGAGAGAGATAATGGACGTCTTAGAAGACCAGTTGACCTCGTAAGTTGCTAATTGATCTAGGAAATCCTCTACCGACGATCAGGGTTGTTTGTAGCTATAAAGGTCTGGAGAGCTGCATTGGTTTGAGTCAAGTTTTCTTGGGGACAAGCAAACAATTAAGTGTGGGGCAATTTGATGGCTCGATATTTACACATGTTTTTGTCCACCATTCTTATATTGTTTGAGGCTCGGATCTCGAGTTTTAAGCCGATTTTACACTAGGTTGTTCTTGTTTATGGCATTTCAGGTCCTAATGCAAGAATGAAGGTCTGAGCACGAGTTTGGGGTCGATTGGGTGAAATCGGGAGGAGCGAGGGAGAGCATACGAGTTGCACGACCAGTACAGAAAAGCGCACGGTCGTGCATGGTGGCCTTTTTGGCTATGTGGGATTTACCGAGACTTCGCATGGTCGTGCACGACGTAATTTATGGCCGTGGTGAATTATGCGAGAAGCTGCACGGCCAGATTCTCGGATTGCATGGGACGTGCACTCCCCTGGCGGGACTAATTTCAACTATGCGTTTTGGGTGGACGTGCGGCCTGACCGTGCAATCGCGGGCAACTGCATTTTAACCCAATTTCGGGTTTTGGAGAGAGGATTCAACTTTTTCATAAAAAAAACAGAGTTCTGGAGAGAAAAAGTGTGAAGAACAAACCCTAAGAGCTATTTGGAGTGGATTTCTCATCATTGAAGCCCAGATTGAATCCCCAGGAGTGAAGATTGACATCCCAGAGCAGATTATTCCCATCTTTATGAGTATGACTGCTTTGTATTCTGTTTTCTTCTCTCTTTCTATGGAGTAGACCCTTCTCTCACTTGGGTATGAAGAACCCTAGTTCCATGTGTTAGGGATCTTGATTGTAATGACTTTTGAATTGATATACTGTTTGTTTATAATCGATTGAAGTGTGTTTATTGAGTCAATTGAATCCTGATCAACTTCTTTTGATTTCTGCTGCAACCTGAGATAGATAGAATCTGATTAGGTTGTTAGAGCTTCTTCAATTGATAGGAGTGAATTGATTATACGGGAGTTAGTCAATTCACTGCTTTGTACTGGAATCCAATACCAGTAGTGGAGTTCTGTGTTAATTGCCTTAGCTTTCTAGCCCGGTGAAGACTAGTCGTCTGCCGGTTAGTCTGTCTAAGAGGGCTTGGTCAGCTAAAAAGATTTCAAGTTACTGTCGGATCTTCCGCAGTTTAATCAACAGTAAATCAACCTAAGGAAATTACAACTTGGACCTAATTAAGAAGCTAGGGGGACTCATTCCCGAGTGACTCTTCTCTTGCTTTAGGAAACCTGACAATTTACTGCTTTCTTTCTGTTTAGTTTGAGTTCAACTTCACTCACTTAGTCCCTCTAGATAATAGAGGTTCACGGAGTAGGCAGTAGATCTAGACCCCGGGTTGATAAATTAAACTTACCACTATTCTGCATTTCCGGACTACAATTACACTTGGTCGTAGTTTGGTGTTGTGTCATAGCGTGTCAGGATGATTTAGGCATACCCGCCCCATTGTCATCCCTAGTGGTGCTCGCACTTGTGCGCGAGCCCTTGAAGTTTAAGTCTGGTACGACCCATGAAGCATTCATGCTTGTACATGGTCGATCCATATACATTGTCTTCATGGTATGCTCTAACTATGTCATGTTAGCTCGACCATGTGATGTATAGTTATATGCATTCTAACAATTAAGTTTATGCCTCTTCACAACACCAAGATAAAAAAAAGTCATAAATGGACCCAGTATTCGATTTTGACTACCTGATAACATACTACATTTGAACCAACTATCACTGATGTCACAAATAATAAGTATACCTCTAAATCATACATAAAATATTTCAAACATCGCAAATATTAAGATTAAATTAATTATTATAAAGAGTAAAAATTGTAATGAGGTTAATTATAACTCATTTATATGTTAATGCCCTTTAATTGATCAACACATCCAAAAATCGCATTAAACCCAATATCGTTTCATTATTGTCGGGTCCATTCATGCCAGATTAGCAAGTGGTTTGACGTTTAGCAGTTAACCAATCTAAAATTTTAAAGAACCAGCCACCTATAGTTTATACAAAATATTTTGCTTCGTAGTAGTTCTACAAATTTATATTAATTTAAAGAATTCTACGTCGCTTTTGCATATTCAATACTGTAATTCGATATGCAATATTTCAAGCATTGAAATTTGTGTTGCAATTTTAAGATTACCCCATCATTTCATAGGTTATAAAAAATAATAAATCATGTATTAAACTTTTCTTTTCGGAAGATTTAACAGGCTAGCTAACCATGATGGAAAAGTCCTTTGTTTTTCAAATTTTCGCTTAGTGTATGTTTAAAATTTAAGAAGACAAAACAAATTTGTTTAGCTTAATTGGTTGTGATTATTATTATTATTATTAATTTTTTTTTTTTTTGGAAGAGACCATGGTTCAAATCTTGATATTGATACTTTTTATAGGAAGTAGATAAATAATTGTGATAACAAAAATACTCTTCCTACTTTCACTCTCGTTTCACGAAATTTGAAATGGAAAATCTTAAACCATTGAATATTTCTTATAGAAAGAGCTTCTTCAACCAAGTAGGAAGGGTATTGTACCTGAAATTATTTTTATCTTATAGAAAGTGATTAATTGTGAAATTGAAACTCAAGTAACATTGATTCAAACATTAAATATTAAATTGTATGTGTGATTCAATTTAGACAAAGTACATGCATGTAGCCAAAACATGGATATTCGTGACAAATATAGTAATTTTTTTGACAAATCTACACATAATATAAAGATAAATTGGGCGCTATGACGAAAAAGAGGTTCGTAGAATCACTCTCAAGCCACGAAAATTGAAATGAGACTCCCATTTTTCAATTCTATCATTAATTATGTGTAGATTTGTCGCAAAAAATGACTATACTCGTCTCAAATGTCTATGTTTTGGTTACACTTCTGTATTTTGTCTAAACTAAACTACACATACAATTTAATATTAATGTTTAAATCAATGTTACTTGAGTTTCAATTTCATAACTAATCTCTTCCTATAAAATATAAATAACTTAAGATAAAATATCAATATAGAAGCATCATCTCCAAATATATTCCTAAAGTTTAATCAAATAAAAAACAATAAATATAATGTATCCTAGTTAGTTATAATGCTCTTACTTCATTTAAGTGATCAAGGTTCAAACTCCAATGAGAACATTTTTAATATATAAAGCTGAACTAGGTGTAATAACAAAAATGACATTTATAGAATCACTCTTGGACAATGTTTTGCCTTTATATATTTTGTAGATTTACTTTTCATTCATAATTTGGTGCTTCCTTTTCGGGGTTTACAATTCATTTCTCCCAACACGCAACGGAGTGAATGAACGGCAACATTGTACTGCGTTTCACCTTGCTGGAGTTTCTGTGGGGTCTTGGATCTTTCCTGGGCTGTGGGTTTCTTTATTGGGCCTCTCCCGAGGCCCGATTTTGAGATATATGATGTACCTTTTTGAGTTTCGGCCTTTGGGCTGTTAGCCCAATTGTTATAAATGTTTAATTGAACTTCTTAATTAAGTTCATTTAATCGTCTATGCTACTAATATGCACAGGATTATCAATTAATCATTCAATATTCAATGTTACTAGAAAGATATGCAGCAATTGGTACAAGTGAAAAATAGCATGAAGTTTTGGTGCCAAAATTATTATTTGTTATAACTTTATCCTCGTTGTAATATTGTTCTTGACACAGTATCTTTATAAGATTTATGAAATTATAAGTTTGTTAAATTGTAATAATCGATTTCAGTCATCACTTACCACTGTTAATAATACCGAAACAAAAATGATCAACTATGATTAGTAGTCGATTTCACGTCAATTTGATACTAATATTGATATATAATCAAATGTTGAATTTGTTATTGTAGTAAAATCACAAAAATGGTCGATTTCACGTCAATTTGATACCAACGGTCGTATTTTACAACGACCATATTTGCAACGGCTATTTTTTCAACGACTACATTTTTTTCAACTCTATAAATAAAACTCATTCTTCATTTTCTTCCAACACTTCTCAAACTCTCTTCCTACCTTTCAAACAAAAAAATCTCTTCTTCCCAAACTCTCTGTAAATGTAATCATAGTCGTCTGCAAATTATTGAGATTCGTCATTGACAACGTCATATTTAATTTTGACAACGTCATTGATCGAGTATTAATTAATTATTACTACCTATATAAAATAATAAATAAATTATCAAAATAAAGTTAACATATCAAATCTAGATTAATTTTGCAAAAAAGATAAATACCAAATACTCTCTTTTCGCTACTACTTATTGTGACCCATTTCCCCGCTTTTTCCACCATTTTTTCTCTCATATTCTCTTCTACTATTGTGAATGGTCTTAGTCAGCCAGGGAAAATCGTTTGGGACCGATTGGGAAATTTGAGCTGAAGCTTCAACTGCTTCCGATTCTCCTCACTCTTATCCTGCGCCAAAACCGCAAACCCGCGAGCGAACGCGAAGGACCCAGTTCCGCCGACGACCGCCAGCCGCCGCTCCTCGTCATTCCTCCCCGCCGCCGCGCTCCTCGCCTGCACGCTCAAACTCCCGGAAAAATCCGGCGTCTGGAACGTCAGATAGACGATGTTGAAAGCCGAATCGGCAAACGTCTCGACGGGGATGATGAACCCCTGAGCTCTCCCGACCACTCTGGAAGTATTCTCCGGGCCTTCGGTTAGCGAACGGTGGAAAACGAATACCCCGCCACCGCCGCCGTCGGCCGTGGGTCTGGCTGACGGCGAGTTCTGAGGCTGCTGGAGGTAGAGAGAGAGGGCTACCCAAGGCTTGTTGGTGTTGGGATTACTGTGGTGGGGAATCGGGGAGAGGAAAGCGAGGAGGAGGACGATGAGGATGGAAAGGAGGACGGAAACGCAGAATATGATCCTACAGAGCATGATGGGTTTTTCCTGACGACTCTTGTGTTCCCGCTCTGTTTTAATGTTGAACTGTTTGGGAGGATAATATATCGCCGATTAAGTAGAAGGGGAGATGATTTGGTTCAACGAATACACGGAAAGGGAAGACCTACAGCGGGGATTAAGTACAGGGGAGATGGTTTTGGTTTAACTAATTCACTGATAAGAGTCGCATATGTGGTTACACGAAGATCTCCGGCGCCGATTAAGTACAACTAACTGCTCCATTATATCACAGCTTGCCCGTTCAAGTCCAACGCATTTTATTCTAGGCCAGACTGCATGTGATTTGTGACGGCCGATTGGGTGATGACATGTAAAATCATACTTTGAATAAGATTGTTAGCCAAACCTGTCTTATTGGAAAGATCAGACAAAAATTAATCCCTCAATTTTAACCATTTAAATTGAAGAAAAGAAGATGTACAAATGACTTTTTTTTCTTTTCAAAATCATTGGTTCAAAAGACAATCATACGGAAGAAATAAGAAAAACACGGAAGTCAATCAATAATCAAACTCCCGGACTATTTCGTACAAATGATATTTTCATTAAAAAGTAACTTTACGCCATCACAAGTAGTAGGGAATTATTAACAGTACACGAAATTTAACAATCAAGGAAGTCCCTAAACCCCCCAAGTAAGATTGGCTATTATCCTCATAATCTTTCTCCGCAGGCTTACAGGGACAAAATATAGATTTGAATTCTACACCTAATCGCCAAAATATTATCTCGGCAATAATTATAATTCCGGACAAAAGCTCCACATCCGCGCAAAATTTAAGGTACACTACACGTCCTGTGGCATCGACTGCCAGCAATCAGTCAGGTTTTTAAGCCTAATCCGCGATCGACGAAGCAAAATAGCACAGAGGAGATGAACATGTATAATAACACAGCATCAGCAGAGAGCTGCAATAGCAAAGCATGCCCTCCTTGTTTTGCACGGGCTTGGGACCGTCCATGCACGAATGCACAGGCCAAGTTACATGCATAATCCTACGCTACAACAAACACGCAAGCAAAATCTACAAAAACAGTTTCGAAATCCAACGATCGTAATAACACCAATGCTCAAATATTGTGACCACCAAATGCAATCCAAGCACCCGAGCGCAGAACCACCAAAGCAATCATGAACCCTTGATACCATGTTGTGAATTCCAAGTAAACCACAACGCACGTGCAGCGAAAGCATCATTACAAGGATAATATGAGACCACAGCCAACCGAAGCAGTGCACTAACGAGCACATGGAGAAGAGGTATGTCTACCAGTCAATAAGTTCTTGTAGAATCTTAAGCCTAGACAATGTAAACCATGAGAGCGAAACTAGCACAAATGAACGAAGAAGTGTAATACCATATCAACCAGTTGAAAATTTCTTGTAGCAGCACCTAGATATTGCACAATCCACAGAGCATAAACCAGCACCACCGACCATATTTGTGTCTACCACTAGTTTCCACGACTAAGCATACGTTAGAAAGCACAATCAGAGTAAACCTTAGTTTGCCGAGTCCTCCACCAGCACAATCCACAGAGCATAAACCAGCACCACCGACCATATTTGTGTCTACCACTAGTTTCCACGACAAAGCATACGTGAGAAAGCACAATCAGAGTAGACCTTAATTTGCCGACCCGACAGTCCTCCACCAGCGCTCCATTCTGGGAGACAGGCAAGGTAAATTAGCCAAAGATCCCTGCCAAATCCACTTGGCAAATGCAACAACTGCATTCCAACTTAAGGCTCAAGGAAACAATTAGGCAAACCAAACCCCTGGCACCAGCATGATAACCCAGCAAGGTGCAAAGTAGCTGACACCAATCGTCCTTTGGGACCAGATAGCATGACAGACAAAAACCAATAAACGCTGCCCCAAGTCCAGTCATGCGGGGAATCAAATTGCCTGGATAAATCATAGACCAATGCACAACAACATATGACCAGTAAACAGAAACCAATAGCAGTAAAACATACGACATTGCTGACAGATTATCACCTCAAGAGAGCGTTGATACCTACACACAAGAGAGGAAAATAAAAAACAGTGGACAATAAGGGAGCACACAACTGAAAGTGAACAAAAAGAACCAGGTGAAAAGAACTGATTTCATAATGTCCTAATAGGTGAAGAGAGAACACTTCCGGCCACCAACACCAGCACATGGAATCACTCCTGCCTTTTCCCCACCTGATGGCAGAACGCGAACAAGAGACAGTCTACATACATAGAGCCATCAAGAAACCATAGAAAGAAACCAAAAGATGCGAGGATAACCAATGCTGGCTCGTGTGAGTATTGGCATTCTCAACATAAACAATCCATTATATCACTAATGCAGTTGTTGCATTCCTAGTAGTTGGCTTCTAGGTCTAAGAAAATCAGGTCAGCCAACTCACTAAACAGATGGGGGGCAGAACGATGTACAGAATCGTCCAGAGCAGCTCCCTGCAAGGATCATCAATTAGTGGCAAGAGACACTTTAACATGGCAACCATGTACTGCGACACAGCCCGAGACAGAAACCTGTCTTGCTTTGCATACCACTGTTCAATGCCAACAGAGAACACGATGTCACCAACCCAATACCAGAAAACGATTTATTGTGAAGCACAAACCACCACTAAATGAAAGGTTGAACAGGTAAAGGGCAAGAAGAACTCATGTATTGATATCATGACCAGTGCAACCCATGTGTTAAATGCTCTAGCCACCAAAAACCAGAGCATAATATCAGTCTACATCTACCCCCAGAGTAGACGACTCGTTCGCTCCAGAACTACCACCACCAACAGAAAGAAAGCAAGAAAAACACAACAGTCAATGACATAATTTGACATCCCAGAAGTACGATGGGAGGAAAGGTTAACAGGTGGGAGAAAAGGAAGAACTCAGCCGGTCACGATGAAGCAAGATATCCGCTATCAGTTCACCAACTCCTGTGAGGACACTGCACAACTTCGCCAAAATTTGTCCGCTCCAGAACGACCACCACCAACAGAAAGCAAGGAATCCACAAGACAATTAATGGCAGAGTTTAACATCCCAGAAGTACTGTGGAAAAACAGGAAAACAGATGGAGAAAAGGAAGAACTCTTGTCAAGACTGTTCAATCGATGAAGCAAGATATCTGCTAGCTTCTCTAGCTGCCACAACTCATCCGCCTAAGTAGTACCACCAACAACAGAGTACAGAAAGAAAGCAAGAAAATACAAGAGAATCAATGGCATAATATATAATATGATCCCAGAAACACGATGGAAGAATAGAACAGGTGGGACGAAAGGAAGAACTCAGCCAAGTTAGTCTGATCGATGAAGCAAGAGATCTGCCAACTCCTCTTAGACACCTAAGACCTTATATCAGTTCGCCAACTGCTGTGAGAACACTGTGTGCTTTGCCAACATTTGTCCACTCCAGAACTACCACCACCAACAGAATGCACAGAAAGAAACCAAGGAAAGAACAAGAAATCAATGACAGTTTAACATCCCAGAAGTACAGTGGAAGAACAGGAAAACAAATGGGAAGGAAGAACTCTTGTCAAGACGTTCGATTGGTGAAGCAAGATATCTGCTAGCTGCTCTTAGCCACCTAACACCTGAATCTCGGTTCACCACCTTCTGAGAGGACACAGACTGTAAAAGACCTTGCCACTGTATGACAGCCAACATAAAACATATATACAAGGCGTGGGGAAACCAGAAAATAATCAAGACAAAACACAGTGGACAACGATGAGCATTAACAAGGTAAGAGGAACTCATTTCTTTTAGGTGAGGTTGATGAAGCATGCTCAATGCTCTAAGCATCCAGCCACCAGTTAATATTAACCTACATGTCACTTGAGTGCAGAACCACAAAATAGAATACCAAAAATCACCATGAACAAAAACATAGAAAGAATGCAGTGCTCAGTTATCAGATACGTTATCTGTTCTTCGAAGAAACCACGTCAGATCTTGCCAAGAATACAGGAAAGATCACTGACAAGAATCAACCGGAACGACAGCTCGAGAAAGCAAGACACTAACCAAAACCATGGATAATCCTTCATTGTCAGACCCAATGTAACCTGACAGTTCACCAAACATAGAGCACGATGTCACCAATAAAACAACATAAAACTACCCACCCACAATAGACCACCAACTTCTTACAAAACCTCCAGTCTGTAAAATTGCTACCGGATGAGACGTATACCAATCTCCGCCAGCATCTGTAATGAACATATAAGAACAGATCAATGGTAACATCTAAGATCCCTAAAGTGCACAAAAGAACAGGTGAGAGGGAAGGAAGAGCTTATAATCATCTGTTCTGCTTAATACTGTCCAACCAAACCAGTATACCGGACCCCCAGCATCTGTAATGAACATATAAGAACAGATCAATGGCAACATCTAAGATCCCTAAAGTACACAAAAGAACAGGGTGAGAGGGAAGGAAGAGCTTATGATCATCTGTTCTGCATAATACTGTCCACCCAAACCAGTATATCGGACCCCCAACTCCTGAGAGGAAAGCAACATAAAAAGAAACCAGCCTACTATCACCACCAACATAAAAACATCGAAATATAAGGCCAAAAACTTAGGCAAACCAAAAATAACAATTAACCAACTCCTCTTTGGTCAGAGCTGAATGTCAATCAGTACTTTGAAAAAAACACGGCCAAAACCTGAAGATTCAGAAGACAACGGACAAAACCATTTAGCTCCACCATAGTATCTAATGATTTCTAATGAAAAACAATGAACACTAGGACTAGAGAGGGCAAGAAGTCAAATGATGATTGGTCAAACATGCTATCTGCTAGACGCTGTAAGCCACCCAGCAACTGTTTATGTCAGCCTATGTCACCCCTGAGAGAGCACAACAACAAAAAATGAACACGAAAACTACCAACAACAGAAACACAGAAGGAAACCCAAATACCGAAAACCACCAGAGAACTCTATAACCGAA